GGCTTTCTCCAATGACCTCGGTCTCATATGGCCTCGGCATGTCCAGTTGTAAAGATGGTTTTGGTACAAAAAACATCAGAACAAGTGACTGAAAAACGACCCTGGCAATGGCATGCCCCGATGTACTGATCCATATTCCATAACTTCGCATCTACCAGGATTGCAATGCACCTGATATGGGTTTGGGCCAAGCGAAATAAATACGAACTCGTTTAACCCCAAGCCCCACCCTGTTCCAGTCTTCCAGCCCAAGCCCAAAGATTAGCCAGTGAAGTTGATAACAAATTTCAAGCCATCCAATATCTAACCATCTTTATGTCTCTGTCAATTTGCGTATCTTGATCGAAACAAGCACCTCTACAATTCTAGATCTAAAAACATGCCCGGCAAGGTGAGCCTGGATGTGATATTTGCAGGCTCCAACCGCCAACCATTTCGTGACAGTGTTCGGAATCTAATTTTGTCGGGGAGTTGAGAGTAAGAACATGGGTCGTTGCCTCAAACCCACTGTGAGGAAGTTACCAGAGGTCACGTGAGACCCAACCTTTCTGCTTCGAGATCAACTGGCAGTTTGACTCCCACCAGTTTAATGGAATTTGGACTCTTGTGCCACGAACTTGTTGTTGTCACCGTGTCCTATCCAAACCGACCAACACTTAAATCAGTGACTTGACAAAAACCAAAAGCTTAGTACATTGCTGATCATGGGTTTAATATTCTATTACTACTACTACTTCTACTATATTAAAATTAGAGCTCTTAAAAAGATATAATAAAACCGGTTCTTTCGATCATTGATGGTATGGAAGTGACTTCATGACAAACCAGACCAAAAGTGACTAACCCAAGGGTTGGTGAATTCCACGATATAAAAGACTAAAACATGTTCCCAGAAAACGCGTTTGTTCTGCTATAACGAGCGGTCGGGCACGTGATTAATCATGAAATTAACTACCATGCGGTGTCGTTTTATCTGTTATTTGTTGTACTGCTTTATGCATGAGACAATGGATTTATAACAATCTAGCAGTAGTTTTTAACAGCATAAAGTTAATTATTGGGACACTGCCAAATCAACTTAGCAGTTTTCTGTTAAGAGATACAGAGAAAAATGCAATAGACAAGTTGTTAAGAAGAGGCATAAATGGGACAGATCATAAAGTTTCGGTTCTTTTTGTTTTTAATTATTTAAAAGTAAGAATTACTAGAAGCTAAAAGCTTTGAAATCAAACCATTAAACCATAAGACAAGTAATTATGATATTTAATTTTGGATTTCTTTCATAATTCTAGTCCTAACACAGAAAGAAAAAAAAGGGTTAATAGCAATAAATCATAATGCCATAGGGTTTGTCATCTTAAGGTGAGTTATTTTATCCGTTTTTCTCCTACTTCACTTCATCCGTTAAAGGTTCTTTTTTCACCCAATAAAAAATATAGAAGTAGTTGACAGTTTTCTCGCTTTTGTAACGGTAACGGAAACTAAAAGTAATATTTTATTGCGGATGCAAAGATACAAAGATGCAAAGTAATATTTTATTTAGGATGACACGTCAGATTTATATTTCTGTGTTTTTAATTTTATTACAAACAGTCAAAAAAT